CTTAGTCAAATACTTCTGAAGTAGGCTCACAAGGAACCAAATGTCCTGTGTTTGGCAGCAGCAAAATATGTTCTGTTTGGGCTAATATTCTAATGAGATTCTGGTGTAGTTTTGCCCCTTCATCAGGAAAAAAATCCACTAGCCCATCAAAACCAAATCCCCACCATAGCTGATACTTCAGGCACTGAGACACTTTTAGGATTATTCTGGAACTGTGGATACAGTAGCAGATGAGGTCACCTGGTGGAATTCCAGGCCTACCTCAAAGAAACCCCCAGGTACTTGTTGCTTTATTCAAGATACTTGGAAATGAAGGACCTTTTGTGGTAAAGGCTTGAAATTAAAACATCTACTGCAATCGTTATGCTACAAGGAGCAAATCACATAGATACTCTGATGCAGGTTTCTGTAATTGCAGATTTAAGCTCCAAACATTGGAGGAATTTATTCATAAATAGAGGGGGGAAAATCACTAGCTAGTGTGTCTAAGCACTTTCTGTACAAAAAGTCACACATGGATTCTTCCTTTTAATATTTATATCGAGAATGGGGAAAAGGCAGAATAATTAAAATTAGAGCAAATATTCAAACACTTAGAAGCATTTTTGACACTAAGAACTCTATTTTATTTGGATACCATAAATTTATTAATCAAGTAAAACAGTTTTCCTATCTTTTATTTGGCTTCCCAAACTCAGGAGTTAAGCAGAGGTCAGAGTGATATGAAAGTACAGAGGCCCTACCTAAGTCACTGGTAAGAAGAGGATTAACCTCCTGTTTCCTCTTTTTCCTATACAAGTGCTAGAAGATAAGGAAGCAGATGAGTAGGTTGGCTGGGATGTCAGGAACACTGCAACACAGCAGGGCAGGAACCTGAACAGAGCAGGAAAAAAGCAGGAACTGATTAAGGGGTAATTATGTGAGGGCAACAAAGCACTGAGGGTGACCAGTAATGTGGCACTTGAGAAGGTTTGTCCATACTCATTTTGCTAACCCTGTGGTAGTACATGGCATACTGCAGGCCTTATTGGATGGACGGGGCCTGAAGAGTATATAAAACAGTTTTACAGTTGCTAAGACTTAACCTTTGTATCATCCCTCCTTACTTTCTAGCACTGCAAGGCAGACTCCCTCAGCAAAACTCACCCTCCTTTCTCCTTTAACAGCACAGTCATTAAAATACTCCTATTTGAACAAGGAGAGCAACCAAGAGAACAACAACCCTTAGGAGCCACTTTACTTTTTGACACTTAGGTTTTCTCGTGTGTGGAAGGATCCAAGTGTACCAGGAAACACTGCAAATTACAGGATTGCATGACAGAGCAGCATTTTACTCCTGTAAAAGTTCTTCATGAGGAATTACATGCCTACAGACCATATGAACCTCCTTTCCATACCATACAACTTATCATGACAGCCAAGCTGACAGGGGACCTGACAGAGTAAGATAAAGAAATTTCCCTGCCCAACCAACCGTAATTAAGACCAAAATTTAAAAAGAAAACAAACAAGAGAGAAACAATTAAGATAAATAAAAATAGCTGCCTCAAAGTGTTAGCAGCTACCAAGCAAAAACAGTATCCTATGGATCCAAGGATTTTCATGTTCTAATCTACTGTTTAGAGAGGATCTATACACATGTACATGACATTCCAGTAAGAAAAAGCAACAAGACTATTCCTTCATCTGTTACGCTTTTGCAGACTTCCTAAAGCAATAAAACACAGTCACTTTTGGGGGTGCTGTTTGGGGTTTTTTTGATTTGAGAAAAAAAAAAAAAGACAAGAAGCTCCATTTGGCAATGACTAAGATATGTCCTGTTGCAGTGGGTGATCAGCACTGAGGTGCCAGGAGAGAAGCATGGGAACAAAACATCAAACAAATTGACCTGAGTTACTCACAGGTAACACACCAGACCTAACCTATTACTCTGTGCTGAGCCTTTCCAATGCAGACAAAGAAAACTACCTGCTCTGGGTTTATTAAGGTACAACACACCCTTGCTTGGAACACAGCAGCAAAAAGTTACACATAATTTTAGACCCTTTGAAAAGCAGAACGGATTTTAAATAAGTCTGGGGAACTCTATCACAAGGAAGGCACAGACAAGTATAAAAGTGGAATCCAAATGGTATCTTAATTAGCTGATAGAAGCTTATTTTCATTACTACATGTAGAAAAACATGAAAGCAGCATCAGTGTTAGTTATGGGAAGCTTTTTATCACATCCTGTAGATTAACTGCTCTCCTTGTGCTGCAGCACTAGTTGGAATAAAAAACGGATTACAGGATGACAGTGAGATGCATTTGGAACACCTGTAAGCAGGAAAGAAAAAAAACTCACGCCCAACTTATTTTTTTTAGGATTTTTATTGAAAAACTTTACAATCAAAAACATATCAAGGCCAGTTTTACAATAAATGTAAGACACACAGAATGGCTTACCTGCCACACAGATTTAGTGCAGGAACCTTGTTCCAATGTTTTCTCATGCAATTGTTGGATTAAAATCACATTCTCATTTAACACCAAAATGGATTATTTAGACTTTCTGAGGAATTAACCTTAAAATCTGGTTTAAAAAGTCAGTTTTCCAAAGGTTAAAAACACATACACAGCAAGATTCTCCCTTCACAGACCAGCTAATAGCTCCCTGTGTCGGACAACTGGCAGAAATAGACCACAGAGCTCATTTTTCCTTTTTGTTTTTGTTACTCTAACCTGAGAAATTTCTTAAATAATGCTTACTGAGCTTTCATATTTGGCAACAGGACTTTAGCTACAGAGCAAAGCATGATTTCTTGTCACAGAAACCAACATTTCACTACTTATCCCATAAGACACTCTCACAACCAGGAGTGGCATTAGCCTAACTGTGCTTCTGTGAATAGTATGCCCTTTTGGTAGGTTAAACCTTGTTAGTAATACCAGCAGAACACTAACCTCAGGATGTCAAGTTCCCATCAGTTGTGTAATTCCAGTATTGTGCGCTTTGAAAATATTGACTTTGGCATGTTACACTTTGTAGCGTAGTTGGTTTTTTTTGTGCTTACTCCTGGCTGTACAAAATCTGCCTTTTCTCTCCTGCATTTATTCAAGCCCTTTCCCTTGCCACCAGTCATCTCCCCTTTCTCAGAGCTGCAACAGAAACAGGACACAAAGCACACAAGGACATTTAAAATGGGAGAGCTACAAAAAGTTGCTGAACAGCAGATAGTGATCTTGTAAAACACTCTGAGTTCATCAGTGAGCTTGTAAAACATAAACCCTGTAAATATTTTAGTACAGTGTTCAAGCCTTCAATTTTAAATGCGTAAGCCTGCTTAATTTGATTTCAAACCTTCCAATATTCAGTGTTTTACTGCATTTAAATGTGCTACTCACTTCATAGTTGCTCCCAATATGTATAAAACCAAGGATGAAAAACCACTTGAAAGAAGCAATTTAACTTCTGACAGATTATAACTTACTTGGCATTTGCAATAAATTTATATGTTGAACAATTTGAGCTATTACAAATTGTTGTTCAGTTTTACCTGAGCACGTCTGATTTTCAAGTGAACCATGTTCTTCACAGTTACTAGTCCTGTCTGCCAGGCTAAAACTGAGAATATACAAACTGAGCTTTGTTTGCTCCATCCTCTGCATACCAAAAACCATTCCACTAACCACAGAGATCACTGAAGTGCTTGACTGGAAAGGTGCAGCAGTCCCATCCCCTGAGACATGGCTGCATTTTCCTGTTTCAGTGTAACCCTGTACTAAACTGTGCTAAAATTAATACTCAAGTGTTTCAGTTTTCAACTTTTCTGCAAACTGGCTTTAAAATAATGTTACAGGAGGTAACCACAAAGGAGATGTAAAGAGATACCACATACAGCTGCTGCATGACAACCTTTTATTCTACTGCAATTTGCTGGCATTTTTAACCCCCAAAGAGGGAACAACAGACTTGGGATCTTCTGAAACACATTCAGAATCTCAATTTCTTTATTTTCCATCCAATTAAAAAAACAGTGTTGAAAAGTGAGGAGCAAACCTAACTGTTTGGATAACCTTTAGCCTCACGTATATTTTTACCACACAGTGAAAATGCATTTTGCATATCAGCACTGAGTGCACTTTAAAAAGGACCTCTGTTGAAATATTCCCAACGGGTCTTTATAGCACCATGTAATCTGCTGTTGATTCAAACTGCTTAGAATCAGCAACTGCTTGTCAAGTAAAATGATTCAATCTCTATTTCGTCTAGCACTCTAAAAAGAAAAAAAATCTAGAAGTTCATGTTATCCAAGTGAATGCATGTAAACAGTTAATTACCAGACACTTGATTTACACTTATTCCAGTTTTGTGAACCCGATGGATGTATTGCTACATGATCCTCCTGGAACAGCACCGTTTAATTCAGTGGCAGAAAAACTTCATGGATGCATTGGCTGAGAATGCCTCTCTCTTGCTCTTCATTGAATTGTCCAAGTCTATTTCTGCAGGATTTGATTCTGCCCTTCTATTAGAGCTCATTTGCAATTCATAATTGAACAGAAAATCAGTGAACAAACAAAAGCCATAGTACAAGACAACAGGTATAGCAAGGGGACAGGGAAGCAAGAGGAAACCGAGGTCCAAACCAGAAATACAGGAGAGCAGCTTAGCCCCACAGCACATTTTGCATTCTTTCAATACTTAGATTGGTCTGTTTTCCAGACACACAATTCAGAATTTACTCAGAACTGAGGGAATACACAACCTGATTAGACATGAAGTACATGAACCATTCATGCACTAACTTATTTTCTCCCAGGTAACGCTGCAGCAGCTGTGGCAGAATGGCACTGGGTTGAAATCAAAGTAGTGCTGGTACTTGACCATTTCTGATAACTGTTACCTACAGCAAAGTCAGTGACCATCTACTCAGCATGGCAAGAGGCTTGTTTTCCAAATGTGAGTTCCAGTAAGCAGAATTACAAATGGGAGCAGTCTGAGTGCACGATGAAGGTTTTCAGACGGCGTATTTCCGAAGGAAGCGGTCGAACGCGTCGTAAATCGCTTGTCTGAAACGAGGGGAGAAAGATCATTTGTATAATCTGGGAAAGGGCAGATCTAAGTGGTGCATTTCCATATATTTAATTTGCAAAGCTATCAGTGCAATTTCAAAGCAGCACTCAATAAAAACATGCTATCAGGTAGTGTTTTCTCCTTTGCTTCTTTCTGTGATCTCTCACTTCAATCGAGTAATATGTTTCAGGATTGAGTGGGACTACTGACCAACTTTCACATGAGTGCAAATGTTAATGGATGTAGAGTTTTCTACTCCAACATGTCAGGAAACAGGTCAGAGACATGCATCACTTAGAACTTTTGAGCAACTACCATAAAACAAGGCTGAAGTTCTGAACAGCAATAAGCTCATGGTTAAGCATACCTTGACCTGACATTGTAATTCCTTTCTGTTGTTGCTTACACTTCCTAAATGGGATGTGCAGTCTTACTAATTACCTATATATCTTAAAATTAATTGTTTAGTTTTTAGTATTTAACCTTTTAAAAACTACAGAACTGATTTATGTAACTGTCTTCAGAAAGTCAACACCTAATACTACCGAGGCAAGAATTCATGCAAGTACTACTTAGTTGCAGCCAAGTTTACATTTTACTTAACTCTCCAGTACTTTTAAACTTTGCTGTTGCCCTTACCTAAAGAGTCCTTGTTTGAAGAGGTAGGCACTGACATGACCTCCATCCAGATACCTGATTTCACACCCTGGCCAGATTTCCTGCAGACTCCGTACCCCAGTTCGAGGAATATATGCATCCTCCTTCGCTTGGACAACTATGATTAAACTTGGGTCAACTGGAACTAAAGAAAGAACAAATCAAAACTGAATTCATCTAAGGTAAGAAACAGAAACACAACAGCTCATCTTTCTGTTGTAAAAGTGCTACTTCTAAAAAAAACCCAAAAAAATCACGTTATTCTAAGATTTAATAAAGTGATAGGTTATAGAGTCTCCAGCAGAACTGACCTAGTTTGATATTACAGTAGTGAGGTCATCAGTAGAAAAATGAAGTAATCAATCCCTTCCCCTCCCTTAAAGCAGAAAACTCAAGCCTTTAAGAAATGATAGAACTGTCCTTCCCCTTAGCAACAAAATTCTACAGCACCCAGGCTGACTCTTCGAGATCTCTTTCTCTTCAGCAAAAAGAACTAGGAGACATCTGAAATTCAACAGAGGAGAAGCTTCATAGTGTATTTTTCCCTCAAGAAGAAGAAAAAAAGACACTTTTTCATATAAGAGGGCAAAGTGCAGCACTTTCTTTTCTGTTTCTTACAAGGTTTAGTTGCAACATAAAAATCTCAACATAGTTATATATATTTATTACCCATAACCAGAATTGCACCAATCTGACTACTAACAGGAACAACACTAAAATGCTGCTGAGAAATGCAACGCCAAAATGCTGTTGAACACAGAACATCTCTCTCTTCAAAAGGAAATATACATGGTTTGTTAAAGAGTGACCAGCCAAGATGTTTGGCAAGGGGTTGTTAGAAATAATTTAGACCCTTCCATCTTTCACACCAAATCATGTACAGAGAATATGCAATGCTAAGAGAGGTTCTGATCTTCCACTCAATTTTCCATGAAATCAGAATGTTAGGCAGATTTTCTGAAGCTCCTCTCTGGCCACTCTCCAAGGATATATACCCTGACAGGGGATGCAACATCTCCCAGAGTATGAAGAGACCTGTGAGACCACTGACATGAAGGACTGCATCACTTTCACAAGTGCATTAGGATCACAGATCTTCTGAAGTTTCAAGGACAGTCAGTGCTTTGGCTAAGTGATCCCTGGATAAATCTAGACAAACAACAATGTCTGTACTTAGAGTAAAGCTCACAGGGCTCCTTCTGTCCAGTGAAATAGCTTTTAGAGCTTTAAGGGAAGCACTTCACTGGTATTTGTCACCAAACATCCTTGGCTAGCAGTGATCCAAGACAAGAACTTTTGGTTAGTGCAGAGATCCTCAGATTTTATTTCATTTTAATATTTATCAGTGGAGCACTGAACACCAGAACTAAAAAAGGAGGTGGGACAGGGGCTCAGTATCAAGAATGTTTTGACATTCAAAGGTAACTCCAACTGATGTCCAAGCAGGTTGCAGGACAAGCTCCCTTTCCAGCAGAACCCTTTCAGGCAGCTCTAGGAAGCAATAACTTGTTGGCATTGCCTGCAAGCAGGATGATGAAAAGGATTTGTCCTAAAGGCCAAGGAACACTGAGCTACAGGTCCCTCTATATGCTACACCTGTCTTGGGAAACTATATTCACCAGCCTGCACCATCCCAGAAGGACCTCTGTGTGTTTTTACTGGTCACACTTGTCTAGAAGTGTCATTCAAGCTTGGTTCTCAGCTCCGCAGGCTACCTTCTATCTGAAGTCAGTATGAGATTTCTGCCTTATGAGATCTATTTGAATCTGCTTGAAAAAAAAACCTTATTAGCAGATTAATTATATCTAGCTATTACTCACATCACCCAGGTGTTTTGTTCCTTTAAATAGCACAAATTTGCATTAACTCATAGCTGAAAACATCCACAGTCAGGCAGAGGAAGAGTGAGGAAAGATACTGAAAGGCAAATTTTTAATTCACTTTGTTATTAGTTGGCCATCAAGAAAAACAATTAGGAAATAAGAGTGGTAAATAGATGCTCCTGACAAACACAATATTTCCATTGTGTATTTTACCTAAGGTGTCAGCAGGCTTACACATGGAGAAGGAAGAAAACACTTTTCCTTCCCTTGTATTTCACTCAGTTTTCCAAACTGCACATTGAAGCAGAAACATACCTGAGAAGTTAGCTACATGGGTACATTCATCCATTACTCCTTTCATGAACCTTAAGGATTCTCTCTGTAGAGTGTCACTCCTTCTTGTATTCATCCTGTGTCCTTGTGGGCTGGTGAAGTCATTATTGCTACTGCTACTGGTTGAAAATGTTTGATTTATGCACTGCATTTTAGGAGCATCTTGTATTAAGAGTCTTTCTGAAGAGACACTTAGAGTACTTTTATTTGTGGCAAAGCTGTGAACAGCTTCTTTAGATACAGTACTGTTCAAGGACTCGAGGTTGAATATTCTGGAAGCCACATCCACATCCTCCAGACTGTCCACACTATCAGGGAAGTTCTTAACAAAGTCTTGTCCCATCTTGAAAGAATCCGTCTAGACAAAGACCACAGGGCATTTGTTAAGGGTTTCTCCCTTCAACCACTTGGTTGATCTTATTTTTATAAGATTAACTCATTATTAAAATGAAAAAACAATTAAAAAAAAAAGAAGATTCAAACAGCACTGCTCACAGTACTTGTCATTCTCAGCCTGCAGGTCACTCAGTTAAACCCAGATCATCATAAAGTCTTGATAATTTCATTCTACATTTCTGTCAGCTTTAAAAATTAAAAGCATGAAATACTTATATATAAATTATATGTATTTGGGTTTCATTTTGCTTTAAACCCTGAATTTATCATTACCATCATTTCAGCATTAAGGAGTGTATTTGACCTGAAAATGGCAAGTGCCCATGTAACTATCTCCACCCCAGCTCCTCTTCTCCTGTTGTAAGAGAATTGAAAAAGAACTGGCACAAAGCAAAGAATCTTAGGAAAAAACCTCATTTATTATCAGACTTTTGACTAAATGCATTTTATGTTGCACTAAATGTGATCACAGAAAAAGGCTGTAGCAAGGGCTACACTGAACACTCATCACACAGCCAAAATATTAGCTTTGTTTTTCAGGTTTTCCTTCAGAAATAAATTAAGTAAAAGCAAGAAGAAACAACATGCAAGTATGTTTTAGCTCACAATGGTCTACGTTCAGTAGGAGTGAAAGGAAGTTATATTATTTGTTAGATTTGCACATGTAAATATGAATTAATAGGGAAAATAAACTTTACTTACTCCACAGTATTCAAGCATTTGAATGATTTCTTCTTCATAAACAGTTTGTGTAAAGTACTGTTTCTCCAGCTCTCTCCAGTTCACTGCCTTGCTCAACACACCCTGAGGTTATAAACACAAGGGACCATCACAAAATATACCCCGGAGATGACTCTAAAATCATGATACACAGAGAAAATTCATCTATTGCTCTCTCTGACTTGATTTTTCCAGTGGAATTCTGCCCAAATTTCCAGCTAGCCCTTAGAATGATTGCAATCAAAGCATAAGCACATGTTGTAACACAGGACATGGAAATCCACCTCCCTTGTTCCTTTGAATCTTGTGGAGTTCAAACTGAAGGAGGGAAAGTTTAGATTAGATATTAGAAAAACGTTTTTACTGAAAGGATGGTGAGACACTGGCACAGGTTGCCCAGGGAGGCTGTGGCTGCCCTGACCCTGGCAGTGTTCAAGGCCAGGCTGGATGAGCCTTGAGCAACCTGATCCAGTGAGGAGGTGTCCCTGCCCAGGGCAGGGGATTGGGACTAGATGACCTGTAAGGTCCATTCCGACCCTTAAATTCTATGATTCTCGTGGCCAACCCAAACCTTTTCACTTAGATGTGTGATTACAGCCTAACACATGAACACAAACACAGGTTTGTTACCGTAGTAAAGACTGCAGAAGCTGTCGACCAAGAAAGACAAGGAATCAATGGCAATGGTTTAGGCCAGTTTGTCACTGCCAGTGAAGCCATCTGGAATCAAAGGCATTATTAGGAGTAATACTGCAATCACAAAATGGTAACAACATCAATTCTTCAGAGATTTTTTTCTAACAACAAACTGCTCCGGAAAGGACCCATTTCAAGGCTGAATGGGCTTTTGTTATAATGAATTCCCAATGGAATATTTATTAAATATTTACATATTTATTAAATATTCCATAATTATAATCATAATACCATTGATTATAATTATAAAAATGAAAACAAGCTTTTAGTTGTTTAAAATCATTTTTAAAAAGCCTTTTCATCAAGCTCTGTTAAGCTTATTTCAAGGCAAATCAAAGGCCATCTAAAAGGAGGACTACTTAAAATTCTCTGCTTTTAAAATCTGTATACTGGAAACAAAATGTGAAGGAAAAATTATTCTGCATGTTATGTGGACTCTGTCCTTTCAGTTTCAATTATTACTTTTACATCAATTCTCAGAGCACTTTTTTGTGAATATTCTGTTTAGCCCAGAAATAAAAACAAACCCAGAGCAAGAAAATTCAATGTGCAGAAAATCCCTATATGGTATGTTCTGGGTAAGTTTTATGCTGTTATTGCCCTAAACTGAACCATTTAATACAAAACACTCACATCTGTGCCAGGTGTTCTAACAAATGGGTTTACACAACTGAACTATAATTCTACTCCAATTGATTTTTGATTAATAAGAGTTACAAGAGCACCACATATCTATGTTCTGACAGTCAGGAAGTCTGACTTAATTTCTTAGTTCCAGCTCTCCCCATTAGGAGAAGTGAGTGAGTGCAACCTACCATCTGTAGTAAAACACATTCTATAGAATATAGATCAGCATCAGATATTATTTATTTCACTGGTTTAAATTGTACCACAAGTCCTGTAAGTCAGGACTAGCCAAATATGTATCTTCCTGGACTAAGAAAACAAATTTCAAAGGAGTTTCCAGACTCGCTTTTGTCCGTCCTTGCACCTTCTATACCCATGCTGGACACATGACCATGAGTGTAGGATCCAGAATTGGGTTATTACCACATCTCAATTTTGTGCATAGTTAATGGTGCAGAGATCAGTTTGAGAATGCCAATACAGCTCACAAATAAGCCAAGGAAGAAATAACACAAATATTGATGTTTATGCAAATCAAAGGTGCTTTGTACATTTATGACATTTAAGTTACAAATTTGTGCTTTAGGGGAAAACGATTTTCCTTTCAGCAAGCACTACCATTACCACCATTATTTACTCAGCTCCCAACACCAAACAAACAGAGGCATGTTGTTTTAGTAAGCTTTGCACCTTTGTCTCGCAGACCCTGGGGAATCTGCAGACACGAGCAGTAATGTTTGAACTGTGTATTAGTCTTTCAAGCACCTCACTAACACACAGCTGGTTTAGTTGGAATGTGCACAATGTCAAACAGAAGATGTTATCCACCTCAGCACAGAAATCTTGTCTGATCAATACCAATGATTGGGGAGAAAGAGAGGAGTTGAGAACAGAACTGACACTGAAAGTCACCTCAATCACAACATGCCTATGAACAGGGGGTGTTTCCCACAGTGCATTGAAACACAAAGGTTTAAGTGAGCAGAATGGAGGAAGAGAGGGAGAATCAGCCATTGATCAGTACAGATCTCCTTTCAGAAAGCATTTCTGGCCCCCCCTCCTTGTGGAAAGAAAACAATTATGTGAGAAGCTTATACTCTTATAAAGCCTGTCAGGAGATGGCTGACAAAGGGCTCTATGATTTGTCAGTACTTATTAAGGATTACACTAATTCAGCACCACAGAACATGAGAATTGCCAACAATTTGTTTCTCATGACTCTAAATGTTTGTTTTAAAGTACTTCTGAGATGAACACTGTAAAACAAATTATTTCCGTATGCTCCACGAGCGAATGAGAAGTTAAAACAAAAATTACTGAACAGGAGATAGAAAAGCTTACATGTCCTCCCATGGATATTCCAGTCATCCCTAGCGGTCCATAGCCTTCTCTCTCTAGCCAGTGCAAAAGAGCTGCCGATTCTAGAATTAGAGCTCCTCCCATCACAAACAGGTCCGAGACATTTTTTAAACATGACCGTCTTTTCTCCCCAGAAAAGGAAAAGAGAGGGTTTATTTTCTAACATTAGACTCTGACAGTTCTCATCATTCTACACACACTTTCATACAAAGCTTTATCACAATCCCAGAGCATTCTGGAGCTGAACTCCTGTTGATTCAACAGGAGGAAAAGCAAGCCCAGATTCTCTGGCACTTGTAATTTTTCATCTAAGTGAGGGCTAGAAATAGACACCTGCTAAGCTTCTAATATAACACCACTGACAGCCTGGTCTTTTGCAGACAGATATTATACCAACATTAGCATCTCATCAGTAACAACATTCTGTCCCGTGAAGTTATAACTGGTTTTTTAGAAACAGAACCAAAGTGATACAGTCCTAGACATACACTTCTAAACATAAACTACTTGCATGAACAGTCTTTTCTTTTGTTGTTGTTTCTTTTCTTATTTACCTGTTTTACATCATTGAAAAATTGCACACAACATTTGAAGGGCAATCAGTATGTCAGCTTTGGAAGCACTCATCTGTGTCACTGTAAGACTGAAACTGTAAAGTGGGAGGTTTGTCACGGTACTGAGAAATTCAGGTAGTGTACTGCAAAGCATTAAAACACAGAAGACACATACACAAAAAAAAAGTAGAAAGCCATTCAGCTGAACCACGAGAGGGATACTAAAAATAAGACACCTTTAATTTGGGGAGGGGAACAGTGTATTTTCAGTATCACAGTCAGGTTACAAAAGGCTCCTGACCTCTCCTGCCAGCAAACCACCAGCACATTTGCGCCACTCTGAAGCACAAGGACAAAGCTTACTGTGAAGTCACACAGAAATGAACAGAGCTGCTGCAGACCAGCGTTTACAGGCTAATGTAATTCTTTCCTACAGCTTTGTTATGAGATTCCTCAGCCCTCTCCAGCTGCTGTATTTATTAAACACTGTTACTGGCATATTAACTAAAGCCACTGCTGCTGTGTAACCTTGTACTGAAGAGTGACAATTACCATTGGGGTGCTAGACTGATCCTTTGAAAGGATCCTTCTCTACAGCTACTGAGCTGTCAGGCTAGACAGCTGGGAACAGTTATTTAACTGATTCTTCTGCATCAGATCATCAATAACTGGAAATAAAACTACCAGTGGATGTGTGCCAGCACACACTACTCTCTCCTGCTGCTCTACTATCTTACATAAAACACCACCTGTGTGTCTTCTGCTCATGTTAAATGTTCGAGTTAGGATGAAGAAGAATTAAAACACCAACTCATATGTGGACTTTCAGAAATATTGGGAGACTAAAACCACAGCTTTGCCTCAGACACATATCCTATTGAATTCTGTTGAATTTCCTGTGGTTTGGAAACTGTGAAAAGCAAAAAACCAGGACCACCTCATTAGGCTTCTAAATTCACATTTAAGAAACTGACTGAGGGAGCAAGTCCTGTAAAATATTGACTATTGCATAGTTTCCACTGACTAACAAATGAGCAATACCAGATTTATTTACATATCTGCATCTTGGAAAAGCAAAATCATAGCAATTATAATAGGGAAATACACTATCTGACCAAAGATTATTCACAGCTGACTGAAGAATCACTGCAGCATTTGTACATGCAGTCATGAATCAGGAAGATAAAGTGGCACTTGCATTCATACCACTTGTTTGCATCTCTCTCTATACTTCAAGTTCATCTTGTGCAAACTTTCCTGATCCCTGTGACCTCCTAACACAAAAAACAGAGTAGTTTAGCAAAGAGTAGACAATTTCACATTAGCAGGTTACAAGTGGTCCATTCTTTGGACCTTTTTTTTTCCCCCTTAATAAGTTATCAAAGTTTAGACAACTTTCAGCTCCTGGAGAGACAAAACAAGAAAAGCAGTATTTTGCAAAGACAGTATCCATAAACATAACAGGAATACTTACATTTGATCCTTGGGTTTTCTACAGCCATGTATAAGACTCAAGTTAAAGAAAGTAAAGAAGACTATATAAAAACTGGTCATTAAATCAAAAAATAAATAAATCACATGCATGAACAGCACAGATTAATTGACTTTTGGAACTTCAATTCCCAATGTTTAACTGGCACTAAATCAAGTTCAGTGTAGCCTGATGATGTAGTTCGCAACATTTTAATTTTGTAAGGTATATAGCTAGGAAAAAAGTGTAACCAGAGATCCTAATTAATAAAAGAGAAGTACACTGTTAGAGAAGATGACAGGACAGAACTAAAGATTGGGGCTTTGTAAAAAACGTTCAGTGGTAGTAGCAAGTTTCTCAAAATGAGGTACTAAAGAATTGCATTTGAGAAGGGAAGGCAGGAGAGGCAACTTTCTTTTCTGGCATTAATACAGTATGATGTAAACAAATGCACAGTTCTCCCTCTGTCACAGCTAAACAAATCACATCAGCACTTGGATCCCAACACAGACTGAGATCACAACTCATTACTCTAACGACTGCAGTAAGAAGCTGCAGAAGAGCCAGACTTGGTGCAAGTAGCTTATTATGTTACCTGTGTTCCACACTGTGTTTCATGCAATGGTCAAACTTTCTTTGCTTCTACCCACTGACAAGTCCACTGGAAACAGATCCAAAAAGTAGCTATTTTACCAGTGGGATAACTTCTAGAGAGCAAACAAAGAGTAACTGTTATGTTTTCCACAAAAGGATATAATAAGGATTTTCTAACAAGAGGGAAGCCATGCAGGCCTCTTTAATCATTGGCCGAGCCATCAGTGTGCGTCTCCTCCAGAAGTGCTGAAGGTAAGATATACAAACAATACATGTAACACAAAATCTGATTATTTAACTTCTTGCTACCACTACATGTTACATTTTACACACTCACATGATCTCCAGTGCCTGCTAAGTGAATGCACACAGGTCTGTGCTTGCTGTTCCATCTTCTGGGTATGATGAACTGAAATCTGTGAGAAACGAACACCAATTTTAGCAGAGTAAGTAGAGCTATTTACAAGCTGCATCAAGAGAAATTAAGCCAAAATAAAAAGACAGAATAAAGCATTTGTAACCCAGGTGGGCAAACTGCCAGCAATTCAGCAACATCATGTTTCATCAACATATCCAGCAAACAAAGGAATCTCAAAGTAGGACAGAAGGAAGGCCAAACAAGAAAGGGAGCCAAGATGAAAGCTCATGCTCCTAAAAAAGACTACTACCTCATCATCACAATTTAAATTGTGCAGAGGGGAGAAATGGAACTTCAGATAAAGAGCAGCCTAAACAAGCATGTCCAGCTCTCCTAGACAGCATTGCTATTTTTCTCCTGAAGACACAACAGCTGAAACTGAAGATCAAGATGAGCAATAAATAAAAATAAAAAAATAAAATCAAAAACCTAATATACAAACCATACACACTATTCTATACACCCAACATCAATCACTTAATGTCTTCTGCTGCTACTTAAGTTATTTACTGGGAAATAAAAGATCACTCCTGAACCACGAGTATTTTCCCCACAAGATGGAGCACTGTTACCTACAACAGTGCTAAGCTTCGGGAACAACACTCAGACAATGCACAACGACCTAAAGGGAAATTTGTACAGCATTTTAAACCTGGCACAATATTGTCCAAAGGAACAATCAGTACAACTTGGCTACAAGATGTAAGAGGACACAGGTAAGGAAACAACTATCATACTGCATTTACCAGTATTATACTAATTAGTCCAATATTGTTAACAGATAGTTTCTTTCTCTAACCAATGAAGAGGTGGAATAGAACTGATATCATAGAATCAACCTGGTTGGAAAAGACCTCCAAGATCATCAAGTCCAACCCTACCGTGGTCACTAGACCATGGCACTAAGTGCCACATCCAGTCTCATCTTGAAAACCTCCAGGGATGCTGAATCCACCACCTCCCTGGGCAGCACATTCCAATGCCTGAGCACTCTCTCTGTAAAGATCTCCAGCTCCATCAGCCTCTCCTCATAGCACTTGTGCTATGTTTGATTTTTAAGTTACTAAATAAAGCTTGGAAAAAAAATTCCATCATGACAGTTTAGTTCGAAACTAAAAGCAAAGAGCACTTATATTATATTCCCTTTCCAAACCCACTCCTCAGCTGCAAAGCAGTGCTAGTTAGTGTGAAACCAGCACTACTAGGGATCATCCAGCTCTGAAACTGAACTATTAGGGATCATGCAGCTTTTTTGGCTTGTCAAGAAAGGCAACAGATTCTCTTGCTACAATTAAATGAACTTACTACTTCAGCACAGATAAAATATTTCTGTATTCAGTGTAAATGGAAGGCTGGAATAGTTCCTCCAAATACAATATAACACACTTCTTTGATACAAACAGCTTCTGCTACATATAAATAAACAACTACTGTCCTTAATTTCCAGCATCCTGTTCATTTGGAAAAAAAAAAACCCAAACAAATAGTTTCAAAACCCCCAGGATGTTCCACAGTTCGGTACAATATGATTTCTGCACCCCAAAAAAACACCCCAAGAAGTCATATTGTGTTAGAGGGCATTATTTTAATACACAGATTAAGCCATCACGTAAGACTTATTTTCACTTTTGAGACTGAAATCTACTTTAACACATTAGTGGAATACAACCCAGCTGGAAATATTTTACAGATAATTTATATTACAATAAATTAGCTTCTCAATAAAGCTACTTAGAGACTGTTCTTATTTCCTCGCAGCACTAGATTTGGAAAGGAAACACCTTTTGGTGTGTCTTACCTTGCTACAAGAGACTCAACTGGCAGGATACCTGGGACACAGTGAGCCAGGGGGGAAATGAAGTGCCCCTCAAGGATTTTACAGTCAGATTGCCCCTCAACCTACAGAGAGAATGACAGCAATATATATCATATCAGTGTTAAACCTACTCTGAAAGCAAATCCCTTAAAGTAGAAGAATTTGTTATAGGATAAAAACTTACTTTAAAACCCTCAAAGCTGAAGTCTACTCCTCAAATATAGGACTACATGTTATCAACAGTCAAAACATGTTTCCAACTTGGCTTTTACTACATGACCTTTTACAGGAATCAAGGAAAAGTGTAATAACTTCTGTAACACTAAGTTTTGAACATTTTTTGAGTTTTAATATTTGACATCCCACCCCAACTATTATACTACAGTGAAAAAACCAACAGTATCTGCACAGCCACTGCTTTATTCTCAGCTTCCTTCCATTCTCTGCTATAAGTCTATCAAGGTAGACTGGTAAGTACCAAGTTATTTCACCTTTATCAAGAAAATAAATTGAGTTAAACTGCATCATTTCTTGCTTTTTAGGTACCTTGTCAATGAATACTGGGTAATCCTTTGAGACCAACGTCTGGCATTTTTCCCTGTCCCCAATAATCTTTCTGAATTCAAATATTCTGTTGAAAGGAAACAAGTAGAGAAGATTCAGCTTTTAATCTAAAAAAAAGAGAAGACATATTATATAAAATTTCAGGAGCTAAGGTAAGCCACAAAGACAACAAAAGTTATGAGGTCAGCTTTGCATTTACAGATGCATCAGGCTACCACAGGGTAGGTATACAAGGTATAAAAGTAGGCTCAGGTTCCTTGCTGGGGAACAGAAGGCTAAGGGGCAAATCTGGTTGCTTTCTTCTGCTGCTTCAATGGGCTGCAGAGCCATGCAGAGAAAATGAGACAAAACTCTTCTCTGAGGTGCACAGTGAGAGGAGAAGAGGCAATGGTTTTGTGTTGCAAGGTAAGATATTCCTACTGGAGCACAGCTGAAAGACTTTTTCAGTGAGTGGTTAAGCACATGAAAAGAGAGCCCAGATTTTTTCAGTGACAGTGGTTAAGCACATGAAAAGAGAGCCCAGGGAAACTGCAAATAATGTTCATCCTCAAGGGACTTTCAAAACTGAAATGAATGAGGTGCCAAGTGACTTGAGGAAACAAAGAAGTCAGCTTTGTTTTGACCAGGGTTTTTGATTAGATGCCCTCCAGATGACCCTCTCAACCTTAAGTACCCTAGGAAACACTTGCTCTTTTTTATGGTTGCAAACACACACAAGGATGTTACTTGACCAAATAAAACAGCAGTCTTGGGTGCAAAGTGCAGAATAATAACATAACAGGAATGTTCTGTTCACCCTCCCAACACCAGAGAAAACCAAACCAAGAGGATGGAAAGAAAAAACAGTTTACCACATCAAAAACAGCTCTACGATATAACGTTTGCTTTTGTTATACAGAACAGCAAGTGCATTTCTGAGAAAATAAGGGTAAAGGTATGAGATATGTGTGTGGAGAGTAAGCCAAACAAAGAGATATTTTGCTTGACACTAAATCCTCTAAAAATACTCCATTTGTGTATTTCCTCTGTAGTTAGGAGGATACTGAAGGTTAAATCTTACCTGTTGACGAATTTAAACTCTTGCTAATTATCTGAGGCCAAAGCATTAGGATATCAACACTGATCACACTAAGTGTGTGCACATAAAACTCCAGGTTACACCTAGGCAGGGCAGTCTGTCACAGCAATCTCAGTTATTGCTTCAAGGATAAAAAACTTTTTATTAAAATCATCAAATACTTCAAAATTAAGAGGTGTTTCCACTTTTTTCCCCCCGTTTTTAGTTTTTTTTCTAAAAAGAAAGTTTTACTACTTTGGGCTATGAAAGAAGCTTCTGGTTAAATCTCACACTTCTGAAACTCACCAGGAAGTTACAGAAAGCTAGCAAAATCCTCTTCAATGTTAAACAGAACAATTCCTGTGCAGAAATTCAGCAAGTTTTATTTTTAGGAAACACTTTCAGAGATGCTGCTTGAATCAGGTCATCATATATACACAAGAGAAAAATTTAAGTGGACACACACAGACCTTCTCTCAAAAACAGCCTCTTTAAACAGAAACACTTCGCAAAACTCTATTAAGACTTCTCTTAAACCCAGTTGCTCCCGTGGTATGCAAACACAAGAGCTCCTGAACAAAACAGGCTTGAACGCTTTTGGTATGTTACAGGACAGTAACAACTGTTAATACTTCAAGGGTTGTTTTTCTCCTTCTAATATTAAGGAGTATTTAAGCTGTTATTTTTTAACAAGTCACCTTTTCAGATCCTCTGGCTTTCCCCATCCTCTGATGAAAAGTTTAGTGAGGAGAAGCTTTCGGTACAAGACATCTAATTTACTTACACCCATTAGCAGCAAACTGACATCTAGAAAAAAAAAGAACAGGCAAAAAACAAGGCAGTTAATGGGGTTGGTTAAATGGAGTGGCAAGTTCAGTGATTGTAACACAAAGTGGGTTCTTATTCTGGTATCTATACCAATAAAAAGCCAAACCATTTTATTCCAAGAAAGTTAACCTTGACATTCATGTCAACTCTTTTCATTTTAAACAAAATATAGAGGCAGTTAATGCAAATTCCATGAATTTACCAGTAAGGATTTAATATGCTTAATTATAATCAGAAATATGTTAGGTCAACTCTTTTCATTTTAAACAAAATGTAGAGGCAGTTAATGCAAATTCCAGGAATTTACGAGTAAGGATTTAACATGCTTAATTATAATCAGAAATATGTTACATAGTTGTCAACAAGACAACTGAAGAGATACATATGGTCACAGAACTACATCTCCAGCTGTCCTGACTGTATTTTAATTGCACCCATAAACCAGAGAGTGGCATTGACCTCTGTCCTCTCAATATAGCCACGACAGCAAAAGCTTTTCAGTCAACATGGGCTTTCATAAACACATCTGAGTAGCAGCTTGAAACAGTATTTGTGATGTTCCCCCCACTCCCATCAGGGAAGAGATCACACTATCCAACTCCTTGCCAGTATCATTTCACTTTCAGCAAATGCACCAGCTCAAATACAGCTAAAAAGGCAGTCGAGTATTGTTTTCAAAGCAATACTTACTGAAGTGAACAGGGAGCCACTACTGAGCTCTTCTAATGAGGAAGGGGAGGAAAGAAAAAAGGAAAGAGAACTCAAATCTTGTTTCCTGGGCAGCAGGACATAGGTTATTCAATCACAAAAAAAAGTCCAGGATCTGTGTACACCTAAGAAAACAACAATAATCAGTAAGTTCATTTCAGGCATCTTCTAATATTTCCAGATCCCTCCACACTAAATGGATTAAATAATCTCATCACACTCAAAAATAGCATCATTTAATTCAGGGAGGGTTTTATTCCATTTTTATCCAAAATTCATTTATTGTCATATTTTCATATATTTCTTCTCAAAATAAACTTGTCTGAATATAAGAACTAAAAGTTGTGGTCAGATTTATAAAAACATTGCTCTGCACTTCTAAAAAGCCAATACTTAAGACTCAATATGCAGAAAAAAAGGAACTATAGCACCTAGACTAAGTTACTAACAAAACAGACATTATAAACAACTTAAAGTACTTGAATGTTAGAACCAACATCCTAGGAAACCACAACGGCTCTAGGATGGTTCAGTCATTAAGGGCAAACAGAAATACACGAAATCAGTACAAAAAGTAGGGACCTTCTGTTTCAAAACTGCAGAAATTGTTAGTTCCTATCCCACCAGTCCCAAACAGCTGGCTGTGTAACCTCATTACTCTGACCCATATCTACTGGGTCTAACAGAACCTCAGCCTCAGTACAACCCTTTCCCTTGCCCACTCTGGAGATATCCATCAACTCCACGTGCTGTTGGGGGGTCAGATGGGAAATGTTTGCTCACCTCTGCAAGGTCCCTGGGGACAGCTTGGTATTTTTGGGGTGATAGGAGAAAATTAGGTAGTGGAGACCGGGACAGCAATACAGAGTGGACCCTCTACAAGGCTGGGAAGACAGTTCAGAGTGAGCACACAGAGGAGTAAGTCTGGGCTGTCCAAAACATGCTAAAACGAGGTTTGTAGTTCTACCAGCACACTGCTTGCCAGCAATTGTGAAAGCAACTTTAATGAATGTTTTGATGCTTAACAAAGCAGCTTTACATGTTCTGTTTGCTTGATTGTTGGTTTGTTTTTTAACTTCAAACCCCCTCTGAAACAAAAGCCAGCTAAGAGAGAAGACATGAAAATGTGGATTTTGCTCTGAGTTCAAAGGCTGGACTGATGAGCTCTGTCTGTTGCACCAAGGGAATGCCAAAATGACTTTCTAGACAAACACAATATATTTAAGTGCAACATTGATTGAGGCCAAAGGGTTGTCTCATCCTGGATTTTGTTTCATTGATTCCATAAAGACTCTGAAGCAACTGAGGATATCTCAACTCATCAGAATCACTACTGGAAAGCATACAGGAAACACTAAACAAAAAAAAAAGTCTCTCTAGTACATCACGTATGTTGTACAAAACTTCCCAGGAATATTACTGAGATGGACTAGGAATCATCCTCCCCAGGAACGAAAGGGTAGGACACGTTTCACTCACTGCCTACATGGAAAGACAAACACCTGAACTGCCAGAAAAGGCAGATCCAACTGTTGGAGGCTGAAATTTATAATATCACAGTAGAAATAAAGACGTATTTCATCAGTCAGAGCCTGAACTTGAGAAAGAATCACCAGAGCTTGTTTGGGAATGGAACTGGATTTCAGCCCTTGGTGGCACACACGTCACATCCCGATCCCTGGAAGCAGTGACCTGCCAGAGATGCTGCAGGGCTGTGTAGCCCGAGAATCAGCGTTATGAATCCTGAATGAGTATCTGTGTCACGAATCCTGAATGGATATATTGTTAACACACTGAGCTTTACATAACCGCGAGCTGGGAACAGCAATTGCAGCAGACAGAAAGGTACACTAAGGGGTGATCCACCAAAACACTCCTACGTTTTAAAATTGTGTTTTCCAGAGAAGATGACGAGGAAAACCTGAGGTAAACGATAACTAGGCTCTTGCTACAGGAGGAGTGTTTTCCTTGGCTTCCAGAACCCTCAAGCTGCACACTAACCATAAATTTTTGGTCTGCACACTTATTTGATAGAAACAGACACCAAGATCCACCCAAAATCCAGCACGTAAAAGAACTGCTAGCTCTTTCTTATCCAGCACCAGCAGCTTCGGTTACAAGAAACACAGGCCTGGAGAGCACATGAAAGCTTCATTCAGGGCTCAGGCTGCTGCTGCTATACTATACATGGCTATGAAACAGCTCCCAGCGAGAAGCCAAGCTGACAAAGACACCAAGACCTGTTTTAGAAGCCTCAGCCCTTACCTTCCTTACACTGGGGCTGTGTTTACAGTCCTCTCCTCCAGCCAGGTCGGGTCTCACCCTCTCTAACGGCCGCGAGGCTGCTCAGAGCCAAACCCCAACGCCACACACGAGCGCCACGACCCTGGGGATGGACAGAGGACAAACAAAGGGGCCTGACCCAGGGGCAAGCGATGCTCTCCCGCCCAGTCC